AGTAGGAGGTAGTAGGAGTAGGAGTAGGAGTAGGAGTAGGAGTAGGAGTAGGAGCAGGAGCAGGAGCAGGAGCAGGAGCAGGAGCAGGAGCAGGAGCAGGAGTAGCAATAGTAGTAGGTACGTACGTACGTACGTACGTAGCTCAGGGAAGCGGAACTAGAATAAGAAATCCAAAAACCAAAAAAACAAATATTTATACTCCCTTCAATGTTATGTACATCGTTTGGAAGTGAACTGCTTTATCCCCAACGTTCGCCCCACAGCGCAGAATCCCGCGTTGAAGGTGAATGCCTAAATACGACAATCGTTCCTGTAGTTGCTGCCTCACTCACAGCTGCCCGGGCTCAGTACCCTTGAATTGTCGGGATCTATCTCGCCCAGGAAGCCAATAAGTTCAAGCCTCAAAACAACACAGAAGATCAGCCAAGTAGTTCAGACAACCCCGGCAGCAACACTTACATGTCTAAGCTTGTAGCGCCAGGCATTGAATGGCTGGAAGCCTCCTGAGCCACGCAAAGGCTTCGAGTCTGGTGCCGCGGACATTCGATGGAGTAGCTGGGTCACGTGCTTCAGAATTTCTGCCGGCTTCAGCCATCTCAGTTCACAGGTGGACGACCTGAAGATCACTGCCGCGGGAAACTGGTCTGCACGTAGGAAGCTCAAACATGCCAGAATGACGCACCCAAGAACCAGAAGCTTGCTTTACCTTCGTTTCAAAGTGATGCAATCAGGCAAGAGCTAAACGAGCTGGACACAGAAACTGCTGGGTGAAGTTTCCTGAGCCCTGTGCTAAGTCCTTCCGGGCAGCAGGCACACCTGCACCGATGATGCAACACGGCCGAAGGTCAACTCGGCATGCCGTCATGACCTGGCAAACGTGTGCAGAAAGCAGCGTAAGGCCGTGGCCCTTCCAGGGCCAGCTGCTCCATGGCCCACAGCACAGTTCTGCTCAAGGCCAGTCCCCAGTCCTGGCGACCGCAATTCAGCCGCGATGTGCCGCGAGGACGAGACGAGCACAAAGCCATGCAAAGCCTTGCCATCGGAAGGCGGTGTGCTGCCAGCGGCGAAAGCCTCCGAGTCAACGTCATCCGCCGTCCATCGGACACCGGACCTCACAACACCCTCCAGCTGGCAAAAAGGCGCCGAAAACGCTCAAACGCGCTCAGTCGCAGGCCGATCACGAAGGGCCGTGCGCTGCTGGCGCTCTATCTCCTGCTGGCAAAAGCATCAAAAAGAGAGGCTGAAGAGCCGGCACGGGCTCCGCTGGCTTGCCGCTGGCACCCTCCTCTGCGGCTCGGTCTTCTCCAGAGAGCTTGTCGAAGAGTTTCCTTTCTCTCCAATCATCCCGAAAAGAGCGGAAAGTTGAGTGGGCCAATGTGGGTCGCCCTCGAAGGTGTTTTCAAAGACAGTCCAGCATCCGGGGCCTCATGTTCTTCTTTTGATCGCGGCACTGCTTCGCCCACTCGCGCTCCACCTGATTACCAGGATTTTTTTAATAACGCAAAGGACCTTGCAGAATCTGCCTCCTGCTGCATCTGCTTGGCAGCAGCATGTCCGGCTTCCACCTGCGTAACAAAGACCATACGTAGACTGAAGGAAGGTGCCTAATGGCACTGGAAGCCTCCAGCAAGTCGCCCAAAGTTTCGAGGCATTGATCAAGCCTGAGCACCATGCATTGAGTACGCGATGCGTGCTATGCGACTCTCCGCTGGTGTTTGTGGTGCTACAGTAGCTTGGTGTTGTCCACCCTCTTTGCCGCGCCTGCGCATTGATCGCTGAGCCATCGCTTTGCGGTAGAGCGCCTGGAGGGCAAGCCCGGATGCTCCGACACTTCCACAGAAGGGGAGAACGGGGATTGGCCTTGCCTTGGTGATGAGGTGCGCAGGCAGCGCCTGGAGAGCTGAGACAGACTTCACGAAAAAAGCCTCTGTCCTCCGTCGTGGTGCGCCTCTCTTCTGGCCAGGGCTTTGTCCACCGATCTGCGGCCGGGTGCAACAGGTTGGTGTTTGTTAGTTAGTGAAGGACATGTGCAAGGAAACCCCAAAGCCGCTAGACCGCACTAATAGAAACGGCCGACGGCAGACGGCGAAAAATGAGATGCCGAGACTGCTGCTGATAGGTGAGGCCCACTGACAGCCCCTGGCGCACCCTGCCATACCCTGTCGTTCCGTCCGAGAAATGACCTGCCTTGTGAATCGGGTGTCTTAGATTCCTCTATAGGTTACAGTAAGAGGATTCCAGGATGCCTGCACTCTAGACGATCAAGTCTTCTGCGCAGAAGCATAAGCCGCTTTGGAATAGCAGATGAAAGAGCCATCTGCACGCGAGCAAAGTAGCCTGCACCAGGTGGTCCGGCACACAGGTATGGCTGGGCGAGGGCCGGCGAAGGGGACCGGGTGGTGGGACCTGGCCAGTTTAGAGTACATCTGTACGTGGGCCGGGGGTTGCTGTGGATTGAAGGGGTCGCTAAGCCGACGTATGCGCCGGGCTAGGAGCTCCCATGCAGTGCATCTTCATCCGGTGGTGACATGGGGTAACGCCGTGGAGTGTAGAAGCACGGCGTGGACAACTTTGACATCACGGGGGAGGGCCTGATTGCTGGGCAAGGAGATGCATCGCCGAGATAGCTGACATGTGCGTATAGCTGACGCTGCCGGCAGCTGACTTGCAGATCTACAGTATGTGGACATACACTGTGCCCTTATGGTGCCTCTCTGCAGCATGGTAGTCCTCCTTTTTCATGTAGGCCATGGCCTCCAAGGCAGGAAATCAGGCGAATTTTGAGAACCGATCTAGTTGAGACAGACGACGATGTTCAAATTCAGCGTCAAGTCCAGCTCAGACAAGGACCTCGGTGTAGACAAAGTGCGGAGGTGCAGACTCCAGCGCTCTGAGGCTTCGGCTGATCCGACAAGGCCGCAGGCCCGGCGCCTTCATGTCCGAGAACGAGCGCGGAAGGAGCGCTTGGATAAACTCTGGGCCCGGGCACAGCGATCCCAAAATGGACTTCAGTCCGCCTCTCCGAGTTCTACCAAAAGTTCTGGCACCAAGGACTGACACGGCCGATGGCTTCGGTCGGCTCTGAGCTCTGAACCTTGCCAATATCGTATCGCTTTGTCGTAGTCACCATCCTGGAAAGCCTGACTCCGATCACTGGGCAATGGCATCCTCACATGCCACACAAACATCTGCTGCGCCAGAGTCTGGCCTTCTTGCCCTTCTCTCGTGCAGCGTCTGGCGGCAACTTGCGGATCCTCTAGAGCCAACAGCTCAAGGCAAGCTAAGATCCCTGGCATCCTGCACTTCGTCCTGCCAAAGATGTCTTCCTCATCCGAGTCTTCCTCCTCGCCATCACCGCCTCCGCCAGCTCCACCGTCCGTGTCCAGCAGATCATAACCCTGCATGGGGGATGCAACTGGTGGCTGGAAGACCGGAGATCTGGACTTGGAGCCTTGGCCGCAAGCGCTGCTTGCATGCCATCAGGATAGCCGCCTTGCGTGCCTGCGCTTCAAGATATGGCCCAAGGCTGACGGACCACTTCACGGCGAACACCGGGCCTTCTGTCATCCTCCGAAGAGGCGCCGGCACGCCATGCCAAGCGAAATTACCGAATTCTATAGGACACACATCACGGCTCGAGTTGTCCTTTCGTGCACATAACTCTGCTCAAGAAGTGTGGCCTTGGAGCGATCTAGAGCTGCTGCAAGGTAATGCATACTCTCAAGAGCGCAGAGAAAGTCACAACTTGTGCAAGGCTCGTGCTGCACTCTTCCATTTCACAAAAGGTCGAGAGGCCTGTACAGTTGCTGCCAAAGATCGCTTTGTATCTGAAAAGGCCGTGCTCACCTGGGCTTCGCCCAACGCGAAACGACCTCCCACTTACATGAGTATCTCATTATCCGATCCAACCTTCCGGTCCACCCGGAAGAGAGGTGACGGGCTTAGCCGCCGAGCCCATGTCAGACATGCAATGTCAGGCAACACTGCGATCACTGGAACGAGCAGAATTTGGACCAGGGGTGCTGCATTGCTGAAGATCCAGCCCGGTACTGGCGGATTTCCGCCATCAGACAGATTTGGCTGCATTCGTCGACCGAGACTGACATACCCTAGAAGAAACAACACTAAGATGTACACCAGAATGCTCCCAACGACAGGGGCCCAAGACGTGGCACGGGAGCGGCTAAACGAGTGAATGAACAGTTTCAGGCTTATCACATTTATCACGATAGTGAACGATGTTGTCGAGGCTCTCCAGAAGTCGACGGTCTCGTACGTAGTGTTGCCAAACGACAGATTTGGCACAACCCAGGCCAAAGAACCGTGCCATGCAGCGGCCACCATCCACATACCGAAGAGCTTTCGATTGAACCAATCTCTCCTGACACCTTCCTGATAGATTTGAGGATTTGCATTTGCGACAACATCAGGAATATCTTGGTCAAAGGCCAGGACGATAAGTACAGGCCATGACGTGAAGATTGCATTGAAGGATGTTGATAGCCACTCCGGATAAGCAACGTCACCACTAAAATTGTCCTGGTGCGCCCATATAACATCACCCCAGGCCAGCGCAACATTCTTGTACAAGTAGTAACACAGAAACGTGGCAATGCGCCTGTATGCCCGCCGTCCATGACAAAGCAGGAGCGGAAGCAGATGTCTGAACCTCACACTAGGCAGGGATGTGCAAGGATTGTGTTCACGACCCGCTGGCTTTGTGCCCCAATAACCTTACTGATGGAACCCCTCTCTCTAGCGAAGCCGTATAGGTCTTTGGCGAAGCTGAGCTTTCCTCCATACCACATCCTCGTTCAAATCGCACTGGCTTTGACATTCAGTCCGGTACACATGCAGGTACGCAGCTAAGGATGTTAGTTGGATTTTTTATGCAAGCACGGGATCCGATTACAACAAGCTGGTCGGGACAGCGGGGACATGCCGTGCAAGGTTCTCCTGCTGAACCGGATGGGAATGATTTGTCGTGCCGTTTCATTGCGGGAAGAACCCGCTGTGGACAGAAACTCAGTCAAGTGTGTGCATCAAGCTGCGGCCTACCCGGGTGCACCCTGCGTAAATCCAGGCTGAAAGCCTACAGTTCCCTGCAGTGTACCCGACACGTTCTACAAAAAGTCTCTGCCCAGAACTTTGGCATGAGAGCCTCAGACATTTAAACTTTCAGGCATAGCATTGCAAGTTCCTCTTGAGTGGAAATACTTCCGGCTCCGCTCTCCGACTCCTGCCGATGCTTCGGCTGGCTATAAAGAATACGTACGTACTATGACATTATGAACCAGTCCAGTCCAGCTTGCCGGCATGGGAAGGAAGCGTAGCAGGGAAAAAGTGGGGGCGGCTCGTCAAGCGAATCTATTGTCTCGCAGCACTGCGAATCACGCGAGCGTCGCAGAGGAGGCATTGATTCCATGATGGGACCATGTGATCGGGGCTTTGTTTGCACCCCCTTGGTTCAGGCTTGAGGAGTTCGGTAGACCAACACGCATTGTTGCTCCCTACATTCCCTCCTTCGTGTGCCCCCCCCCCTTCCCTCGCCTTGTTTGTTTTAATAAACGCAAGCAGGGTAGCTAGCGCCTACAGCAATGGTATGAACGCATGTGCAGAAGCATACAAGATACGTCGTTTGGCTCAAGTGGTTGTCGCACTACACAATCCTACACTGCTCTCCTGGCGAGACGACGAATCCATATTGCGTCAGTGCCTGCACGAGATACTAGGGCAAAGGACCATCAATGCACCGATGCTCGGAATTCGGAGCTTTCTGGTCGCGGAACGGCTGGGCTTGCCGCCCCTGCCCTATCCCTAAAGTGACTCACTGGCTCAGCGGTTGGCCAAGGCCAACGAGGAGCGCCTGGGTGCTCCGGGCTCTGGCTTCTTCGAGGACGGACGTGGCAGCATCTACGCATGGCGGATGCTTCTGCGACGTCGCTTCTTATTTTGGGACATTGGAGACTCAAGGCCGGAGCTCGAGTGATTAGTTAATAAGCAGGAGCACATTTATTTTTCATGTGATCTGATGGAGGGATGGGTGAGGAACAGTGTTGTGCTGGGAATGGAGTCTTGCGCCTCACCAAGCGGCGGCTGCGTGCCCTTCTTCTTTGGCAGCTGCCGACACATCGTTGGCCGGGTGTGGGGCGAAGGAGAGAAACCCTGAGGTCTATGCACACCCATGCCTCACAGACTAGGTACTAGATGGCCGCCCCCGATAAGGATCGCATCGCCGACCCGATGGCTCGAGTAGAGGACTCCCTTAAGTTGAAGAGTTGAAGAGCATGCGGTTGCAGCACTGAGACGTTGTCGGTCGACGTGCTCGTCCGCTGACGTCGGGCAATCCGTGCCATGGAATTTCCATTGGACATCGTGCAAGGCGTGATGTCTTACTATAGGTATGGACCATTGAAGTTCAGTTTCGCAGTGACCTTCAGTCGACAGGAGGATCTGCATGATGTTTTTGGGCGAACCCATACACTTGCTATGGGACCTTTCGACTTCGTCGGCAGTATGTACCATCAGTCGGATGTTTAGCAAGACAGCGAGTCGTCGAACTTGCGTTTGATATACGAGACGCTACGGCCAAACCTATTCCACGGTGTGAATCTTGCATCAATCAGCAAAACATGGTTGCAAGCCGCTGCGAATCGAGTGGTGGGCGCTGTTTACTAAGCGTACCCAAAGTCGTGCATTCTGTCCAGTGTGAGTGCTGTTTGTACCTGGGCCCCAACGTGGAAGAGGTGGAGATCGATATTGATGTCATCCATCATTTACCCGTCGGTCCTCTTCGCTGCTTCTTCGGTTAGATAGTGCTGACTTCGCAAACTTTTTGCTGAAAACAAGTGCTTGACCGGGTCTGGGCTGTGTCGCGGTCATGCATGGGGCAAGTGCGTTAACGTTTCATGCGTGTGACGGTTCTGCATGGTAACAAGTGTCGGGAAGCTATTGGGTCGTGCCGTCTAGAGAAGTAACAACTCCGCGCTGTTCCAAAAAGAAGCCAATATGTCCGCCGATCCCATGGCTCGAGTAGAGGACTCGGCCCATGCAGTTGCGGCATTGGGACGTTCTCTACTATGTCACACGCAGGACATGTCTCGTGATCATGCAGCACAGCAGGCTCCGGATTTTGCAGCACAGAGCAGCAGCAGCAGCAGCAGCAGAGGCGGAACACGTAAAGATTCATTGCGCCCTTGAGCCACGTCACGAAGCAGCCGCACGGCGTGGCGACACTAGAGGATGGGGAAATGTCCGGCATCGAGACAAGCTGTGCCGCCGACCGCTCCTCACGACGATCTCGAAGTTGATCGACATCAGTGGAGGCCCCAACACCGAGGAGGATGGAATCGTGGTGGACCGGCGTCTGTCCTCTCTGGAGGAGACGGGCGTGACTACTGGCAGCGAGGAGCCGCTCACGCGGGGAAGACGCTGATGTTGCCGTCGCGCAGTGGATCGTGCCAGCAGCTCGCAGGAAGGCCGAAGAAGTTGACACCATCTCGGGAGACACCTCTAGGCCATTGTGACGCCATTGTGGCTACGATGCAGGCTGGACCTGCGGAGTCCAAGCTTTCTTGAAAAGCAAAACGCGGGTCACCAATGTGAGTGTGTAGGACTGTACGGCTTTTGGCATGAGCAGTTGGATGCATGCAGGAAGCTTCGACGTGGGCGTCTTCCGAGCGAACCTAACAAAATGCCGGCAAGTTGTAGTACGCGGCCTCTAAGGAGTCACCTGCGATGGCCATAATGTCGAAGACTGCTCTCGCCTACCATGGCACAACCTCTTGGTTTGATTACGAACAACTGATGGATGATTGGTGCGACGTTTGACGGTTGGAAGAAAGGCAAACAAGTCCGTCACTGAAAACCCAGCTGTCCGGAATTGCGACCATCCAGTACGAAACTCCGGACTCTTGATAGGACAAACCTCACTTCCGAAACAGGACAATGCTTCGTGAGGCGAACAGTCCGTCTTCTTCAGGGGATTCTGAGGTTTGTCAAGGCGTGGAAGGGAAGTCCGAGATGGTTCTGCAGAGAGCGCGAATCTCATAGATGGCTTGCCTCCCGAGGTCGAGGACAACAAGTGAGAATTCGCTGCAAGAAAGTTGCGTTGTGCACCATGATCTTGCGCCCGACTGTGGGCGCCGAAGCCGCTGACCGCCTCCGCGGGGGATGCCATGGTGACCATTACAATTACAAGCTTCTTCCCTGGGATTACAGCTTGGGCTGGATAACGGCTGAGCACTCACCGACGACACAGCACTGCCACTGTGGGAACCCTCTCGCCCGCCGTCCCTTCCAAACCACACTTTCTGCTTCGGCTTCCACAAAGGCTGGTTGAAACTATAGCCGATCTTGCAGCGTCGAGACAACACGGATGCACTGCGCAAAAGCATCCAGAACAAAGGAGCTTCAGTTAGGGGGGAGGGGGGCTCTCCACCTTGTACAATTAATCCGGCCCCTCCCCCCCGTGTTTAACTGTTGTTAACCCACCAACCAAATATGCTCCTAAACGTGATTTTGACCTGGCTCGCCAAGTACTACTGAAATGAAGTGGTAAACGTCAACTCGCGCAAGCTCCACAAATCTAGCTTTCGTGATAATGCATGCCATGCAAGACAAGGCGAGGAACTGCGAGATCGCAACGTCGCTCGCCTGCACTGCCTGTGAGCCCTCTTTGCCCCGAATGCCAATGCCAACATGAGCTCCCAGAATCATTGGCACATCGTTGGCTCCGTCTCCGATTGCCAGAGTAACAGCCTTCGGGCTGCGAAGGCGCACCAATTCGACTAGCTTCCGCTTCTGGGACGGCGACAGCCTTGAGCAGACGCACGACCTGCTCCTGAGCCCCAGCTCGAAGAGCTGATCCGCGGCAACTGAGTCTTCCAGGATGAATTTGATGGACTGGCCGTCTAGTACTATGCCACCGCTTGCTGTCCCTTCCAACACTTTCTGCGCGTTACGGAGGCTCTCGGAAGCAGCAGAACTACTCGAAGCACCGGTCACAAAAGCCAGAGTGTCTTTATCAGTGAACAAGTTGCAGGAGTACGCGATGTCTACAGCTGTTTCCGTTTTGTCTCCTGTAAGCACCCACAAACGGATGCCCGCACTCTTTACCTTGGCGACAGTCTCAGGGACACCGTCTTGAAGCCTGTCTTCCACCGCCGTGATGCCAATCAACTCGAGATTTCGTTCGATCGCTACAGCACATTCGTCCATCAGCTCCACCCTACGATCCATCGACATCATGGCAGCAAGCCAATTCCTTTGCCAGCTGGCAAAAGCCAAAGCATCGACCTGCACGGAGGCCACCACAAGAGTTCGAAGGCCCTTCTGCGAGAAGCTAAGCAGCTGTTGCTCCTCTGTTTGTGCCAGGGGTGTCACGAGCAATGGACTCATGACAATGTCCGCACCCTTGGTAATGCAGTGAATCTGCCCTTCGACTTCACAAATGACTGACATTCGTTTGCGCTCTGCTGTGAACTCAATAACACTCAGAATGGAGAATGTGCGATCTGGTCTGCCAGGTGCTCCAGAAACGATGACCTCTGCACGCTGCTGATCTTTGTCGACCCTGCGTGCCTTGAACACGATCCCTGCTTTGCAGGCTCCCTTTACCAAGGCGACTTCATCAGGCGAGGGCCCAGAGTACTGCATGCTCCCATCTTTTTCTTCTGCTTGCACCGTGTGACAAACGGAGAGACAGGTAAAGAACCAGAGAACTGCCTCATGTTGCGGATGAGCCGGCTGGCTCAAAATTTCCCACACCTCCTGGACTCCGCCCACCGGGCCACCAAGCGGATCTTGCAGAAAAGAACTGAAAACCGAGTGGCCAACGGCGCATTCTGCGAAACGCATTTCGTTTGCTGTCAACGTTCCGGTTTTGTCCGAGAAAATGAAGTCAACCTGGCCCATCTCCTCTACCAAATCGGCTGTTCTTGCCTTGGCTCCCTGCCCTGTGGTTTCATCCACCATTTGGCGGTCGAAATCGATGAAGCCTCCCAGAACCAGCTTCAGAATTTCGAAAGACACGTATAGCGAAATAGGGACCACGTGATACAGCGTGATGGTATATGTCAGGAAGCGCACAGTCCAGCCCGTGCCAGTCTCCGCGACAGTGGCAAGAGTTGCCAAGTAGATGCACGTGATAAAAAGCGAGACCAACAGGCCATAGACACAGTAGTTCAAAGCCCCCTGTAGGCTGGAAACCTTGCCAGCCACCGTAGCAGAATTCAAACGAGCTTTGGTATCCTTGCCTGCATAAGCCACGATTGCCAGCATCCACGGGGTGTTGCGTAGAACGCATCCACGTGGCACGAAGTTGGTACAGTTTGCAGCACACCGCTGCTCTCTTCCAAACTCAATGGCTGCATGCATATCGGACAGGTCAGCAGATGGTGTGGCTAATCGCACGTAGAGGGGAGTTTCAAAAAGGCGCGACACAGTATCAGACACAGGAAGCGGCGGTCGAATAACTTCCTGGCTGTGCTCGGAGCACTCTGTATCGATAAGCGACTGGAAAACCGGAGGCGGTGATCGCAACTTGAGGTTTGTCTCTCCATCAAGATTCACGGTCGAAATGAAGGCACCCTCCCGTCCGGCAGCACAGACGACGAGAAGATCTGCAGGAAAAGCTTCGTCGCACAGCGTACAGATGAAGTCTCCGGGTTTTATCCCACTCCAAGGCATCTGTACGAAGTTTCTTTCCTGCATGTCATAGATCCAGCATTTTCTGCTGTTTTCAGTCCTGTCATCTCTCCGACGGCGCGAGTCTTCAAACAAATCCTGACAAGGAGAAAGCATGACGGAAGGGAGTAGGGTGAAACATAGCAAACAGCAAAAAGACATCAACATGAAAACCTAGTCCAACGAAGCTGAAAGATACTGACATCCGATCAATTGATCCAGGAATCTTTCAATGCTGTCCAAGTCAATACCAGCACATAGGGTATCACTTTGCTCTGCCACCTCTTGGGGGAAAAGGGCATGCACACGATAATTGCAATGAACAGGAAGTAGAGGTTCGCAGCCCGCTGGAACTGCAGGAACAGTGACTTCGGAATCCACGTCAAGGCCGTGAAACGTGTAGTTGAAACACGATTTGGCTCACCAGACCTGAGGTTAGCCGGATGTACTTTGGCTCCAGGATACTCGAAGCTCCTTCACGGTGGCAGTTCTGAGAAGCTACTGGTGGGTTTCTCGTGAGTGAAGCTGAGGCTCTGAGTGCACAGGACAGAGGGTCATGAGCTTGCGCAGGCGCTTCAAAAATGCAAAACAGAGTGCTTTCATAAGGTGATGTTGATGACGTGGCTTTGCCAGGTTCTTCTCCGTAATTTTGGATCATTGAGCCTCCAACTACTTTCACAGGTCCCGAACAGAACAGCGACTGCAAGTTCATGCAACAGTACTGGAGGATGACCAAACCCTGCAAGTGCCGCGAACGCTATTGTAAACGGCCTCTGCCCAGGCTCCAGGGGATCCATCGCCAAGCCCATAGCGAGTTGAAGAGATGGTGGCTACATACATTGAGCTGTACACACGAGAAAGCTACTTTTCGAAACGGATTGGCGAACAGGGGGAGTACACTCTTGCAAGCTTCAGCCCCTGCAGGTTTACCATCATTGATGCCGTTGCGGGTCGGTGGTCCGTGCTTAATGAGACTTTTTGCTTGCCGAACGGATTGCGACGTCCCGGCTCATCCAGGATGCATTAACACTGCAGGAACTCAATGATCCATCAGGGTCTCTATGACCTGAGACGCTGGACATGCTCGGATGTTCAGCTGCACATGGGCTACCCAGGCTGCGCACCCCAGAAAAGGCAGCAAAACCAGCACAGCCCAGAGCCATGCCAGTTGGCCCACCCTTGCACGGCAGAAACCGTCTGGCGGTTTTTGGCATCAAGACATTGGCTTAGGTCCGTGGCTTGAAAGGCCAGCACGCCCCCGGTGACGCAGCCAGAAAGGATGGCATTCGGCCTGTGGACTGTGCAAGCCTCTCCAGATCTATTCGTAAGCGTTCTGGGCCACGCACAGATCTCTGCATGCTCGTTCACCTAAGAGATCAGTTGTGCTGCTTTTGCCCGGCTGGAGGTTTCCACGACGATCGGGTCGGTGGCGCTCGAAGAAGCATTCAACTCCAGCAAAAACGACACCCACCTGTGCAGCTCGTTTACTCTCTACAAGCACTACCGCAGCCCCTTTTGTGAAGATGAACCCGGATGAACCCGCAAGGCCTTTGCAAAGTTGCGAGACATGCGCACGCAGGCTTGACCTTGGGATGCTGGCGGCTGCTGGACTGCTTGGGACAAACACTCTCTGGTCTGTGAAACCCGAACCCATGGAATTCGGGTGGTCGGTTCCATGTTGGACACGAAGGCAACAAATTTTATTTCCCTGCCCCCTGGCGACGTTCCCTCAAGATGATCACATGCCGTCAAGAAAGGGTTTTGTTTCCGAGCACACGACCGAAACCTTTGTAGGACTGCCGAATCTGCTCCATCGTTGACAAGGACCTTGATGGGCACGTCGCAGCGACACTGCTGCAGCAAAGCAGTTGAGTGAATGTGTGAATAAGCTCTTGACGTATCAATGTTGGGTGGCGGCTGCATTGTGTGCAGGAAGCCTCGTGCGCCGCATCGCCACTTGATGCTGCAGCATCTTCCAACCTCAATGTCTCGCATCATCAGGCCTCCCATTAGGAGACCAAGGCCAGCTCCACCGACCTCGGCCATAGCCGCTTGCAGCCCACTAAAAAAACAAAGTCGTGCACCAACGTGAAAGGTCACGCTGGACTTCTGAAAGTCTCTGCGAGCCTGGCGCCGCTTATAGCTGCCCGCAGAGTGCAACCTTCGACGACTCGAGTGCCGAGGGTTGTGTTGCGCCTGAAGAGCAGGGACCACGGGAGCTCGGTGAATGGAGTTCTCTCGGAATTGGCTTCCCGGCAACATCTCAAGCTCCTCGGGCTCCATTTTCCGGAGGTATTTGAGTGCACGATACCTGCGGCGGGATTCTTGTCTGCATTCGGGCTTGCAGATACCGACTGGGCATCGCACTTTTCTGAAAGATAGGGATTTGCGATGGAGCTCGCATCCTACACGCGGAGCGAGACCAGTAGCATTGTGGCACTACGCAAAAAACCCTGTCTCGCAAAGACTAGCGGTCTAGCATCACGAGCTGACAAAGCTCTTATTCCGTTGAGGACAGGAGCGTGAGAATTAGAGGTTTCGACTGGCACGCGATAAAACAGACGATCTCCTGACAGTTGACGAAGGAAGTTCGCCACCTGATTGACTGTTGAACGGCGAGAAAGCAAGCGAGACTTTGCGCGACTGCCACATCTCAGGCCAAGTTACATCCTTCATCTTGCAGCTGCGACGCCATGCGCCGCAATTAACCGCACCATGACATCGGCAGCTGCACAATGCTTAGAGCTGTACGAAACCGATTTGCATGAGGCTGGCAGGCTGTGCACAACGAGTAAGGCTTGGCGGAGATAGCAAGGAGGAGGCAGACCTGGCAGAGTAAGCCTGGCCTAACACCTCAAACGGCAAAACGGGTTTGATGTGGACGCGTCTGATGTTGTTGCGAAAAGCAGTCACCCCCAGAAAAAACGCCATGAAGCTCAGCTTCTTCCACATGTTCTCAATATGACTTGGCTTGAACATCGCACGACAGCACGACTAATTTTCCAATCTGCTCTTGGAGTGGTCTCAGCCACCCATCCTGCGATGAGCTGCTGCCTTGGAGTGGTTCTCCCAGCTCTAGCTCAGCAGCAAGCCTGCGCGGAAGCAGAGAGTCATCTTGCCTTGCACCGTCGCAGCACAACGTCTTTCCTGCGTGCATCTCGCTCGCGGGGATACGTCCTGGAAGGGTGCTATTTGCAAAGCTAATGTCGAAATGCTGGAGCAGACTTTGCACCTGCTCGAATTGCTTGTACAGCATCTGCGGGTCACCCTTGACCTGCATGTCACACCCGAAACAACTTGAAGAGGAGCTCGAGCTCAACTCATGAAGGGACAGGGTGGTGGGTCGAATGCAAGCCCCAAGAAAAAACTCTTGCGACTTATGAAAGCACTCACGACCGTCGGCACGGGACAGCGGTCCAAGCAGACGAAAGCAGGTGCAGCTCGGAGGAAGGCCTCTTAAAGGCCCCTGCAGCGACCACTTCGTTGGAAACCCCTCTAAAGGCCCCCCGGGCCGGCTCGCAGTCGCTCAAACTATGCCAGCGTAGATCCCCAAACAAAGCCACGACAACCATGACGACGAATACGACGACGACGACCACGACCAGTTGGACCACCAGGATCGCCACGACGACCACCCGAAACCACAAAACAAAAACCACCAGGAGACCACCAGTCAGAGACGGGCAAACTGCTTCCCCAAGTACTGGTGGGATTCGGGAACCCCAGCACTAGCAGAATTCAGGAAGCGAAAACTCTCTAAGTACTGGCGAAACTCAGGAGGATCAGCCCTGGTGACATTCAGGAGGATTGCCAGAAATGTTTTCCCCGAATGCAGGCGGTATCCAGAAATAAAGGTTGGCCCATGTATTGGAATTTACAATAAATATGGTTGTCCAGGAGACGGCTTCTAACAGGTCCTGTGTCAATAATAGGACATGAGCGCAAAACATATTCCGCGCCACAGCGGGGAGCTGCGTGCCGGGCAACCTTTTGCCACAGGCACCGCGTGCAAACACTAACGAAACTCTTCTGACACCTCTTAACCTTTGAAGAGGTTCACGCTCCACCACTGCCTTATCACGAACGAAGCTGTGGGTGGGAGGGGGTCTGAACCAAGCCTGGATGCTTTCCACTCGAAGCCAGGCCTCCTCGTATGCCTCTTGCACGTTCATGTCGTGCCGGCACAACAAGGCCTGAGCGCAAATGGGATTTGGCTTGGGCTCGTTTCGCATTTCTTTGCCAGGCGACGATGAGAAGCACCAGCATCACCAAGACCTCGAGAGGACCGGTGTAAGCACAAGTGAACCACACTTTTGCTCGCCCAGACCAGTGTCAGCTCTGAGCATGCAACCACCAAGTTGACCACTGTCGAAACGATCGATGAACTCCCTGAACTCCTGCGCTGCCGATCTGACCATTCTCAACAGATGGTTTCATGCTACACTAATAAGTGGGTAGGAACATGCATACAGACACCAGATAAGCCTGTACACTAGAATGCACATGTACAGACAGATGCATATATATATATATATATATATATGCTGCCCCGCTTGGGCATCTGCGCTTTCGTGTGAAAATGGCCGAATTGGCCCATTGTCCGGGCTGCGACGAATCCCGGATTAAATATCTCACCGATTCAAGGGGAATGCTCGGTTGATGCGAAGGTGCGGAGGGAATTGGGATGGGTACCATGATCCCCAAAATCCCCAAAGACCAAATATTAGGACTCATTGTATGTAGGTTAAAAACTCAGAAAGGAACCTTGGTCTTTGAGGGGGGTACCACATATGTTACCCGCCATTAAGGACCAAGGTCTTCAGGCAAGAACTGACAGTGGCCTTCACTGCTTCAAGAATGCGATCGAGAGGGTAATCACGGTGGCTTGGGGTTTCTAAAAGGAGGCCCCTGGTCTTCGTTACATTAGCCCTGAAAAGTTGCTTCACCCATTTACATTCAGACACCGACAGAAACCTTAGAAAGCGTTTATGGAACCCTTATAGATCTCTACAGAAGTCTTCTAAATCCACTACAGAACCCCGATATATCCAATAATGAACCCTGATAGAAACCTTAAAGAATCCCCCACAAAAGCCTTTACCACCCACAAAACCCTTTCCTGGGTGGACCCCTGCACAGACGTATCGAGTTCTCTTCTTGGATCTGTCAAAACTCTGGACTACGCCGCCTGATAGAACAGAAATATTAGGCCAAAAGCCGTTCCTTAAGAAACCCTGCATGCCAGATCTTACGAAAATGCGAGCGACCATGTTGCTGAGATGTAACCAACTATACAAGAATTCAATCCGACAGCTAGTTTTGCGGTTGCTACCATTGCATATGTGTACGTGCATGTTTATACAGTATTGCGGCAACCCGTAACAGGCACCAAATTATGCAAAAGGGATTAGTACTTTCCCAAAAGACATCGAGGCCGCAACACACGAGATTACTGTGGGAGCTGCAGCTCCTTGTCTTTTTGTGCTTTGTCTCGTCTTAGCCGTCCTAGCTTCCTAAGCGCGAGCTTCTTCCTGTTACATCATGATTCTGTATATCACAAGGTCTCACGTGCGACACGCACACAACACTCCCATGTAGATATTTAGATATGCTTCCTATGCAAATTAGGCAAACACAGCAACCGGGGGAGAATTTTTGTTGGCCTCTTGTTGTTGTTGTTTTGCAATTGTTGTTTTATTGGCCTGCGGGGGGTTGGGTTGGCTGGGGTGCAGGGGCTGCATGGGCTGCAGGGGCTGCGGGGAGCTAGCGAGGTGTGGGCGCGGCAGGGGAGGGGGGTTCGAGGCCCAAGTCTTTCCATACGAGCGGGCTTCGAAGCAATATACCGGTGGAAGCAACATACCGTATTGACATGACTTAGACTAGACTTGATGCGATCTTTATTCATTCAATATGATATGTATATTGAGGTAAAACAACCTCTTAAACCAATAGTAAGTTCCAGTTTTGGCAAAACTGCAAGATATGCTACAAGTCAGTCTAACGGTATACCAAAAGACTCGTATTGCTATACGGTTGTATGAGTACTATATCAAGAATATGCAGAGCTTGGCTACTATGTTAACAGACAACTATTCTTACTTACGGTTATTATTTTACATTGGCATTCAACAGGCCTATTGAACTCAATAGGGCTGTCGGATTGAAGATTGAAGATGCCCCGGGAAAGATTTCTGTGGAATCTGCAATCTTCAATCTTCAATCCGACAGACCCTGTTGAATCCAAAGGGCCCATTGAACTCAATTGGCCTCACGCGTGGATTGAACTTCAAAACTCGGGATGCATCGAGACTGCAGTCATTTCCCTGAACACGTGCGCAAGCATGTACTCCAGCATCTGTTGTATTGCTGTAGTTCTGCACACATACTACGGCTTTGACTATACACATACACATACAAAGTAGTCTGTAAATAAATATATATATATATATATATACCGTTATATATATATATGTCCGTCTATCTATCTTATGATTGTAAGGAACTTACAATTGTAGAAAAAGAGAGAAAGAGAGAGAGAGAGAGACAGACAGAGACAGAGACAGAGACAGAGACAGAGACAGAGACAGAGACAGAGACAGAGACAGAGACAGAGACAGAGACGGAGACGGAGACGGAGGCGGAGACGGAGACGGAGACGAAGACGGAGACGGAGACGGAGACAGAGACAGAAAGACAGAGAGAGACCCGATGACGCAAGGCAGGCTGCAATCACGAGGTACATGACATGGTTCCACCACTCTCTGTCAGAGACGACAACTGTCAACCGTTGTTCTCGAGTGCCTGCCGCTGCTTTGCAGGCCAAGGTGCTCCCTTGCAAGGGATGCTGCCACGAGCTGGTTCAGCAGAACCGCAGGCTCCTCGCTTCTAAATGCTTGCCGTACATAAGGCTTGTGTGAGTGTGTGTCACACTGTGACTGGTCTGTCCTTATCCTGCTGCTCTTTCTGCAAAGCTGGCTGTACTGCCGTCGCATTGGATGCATGCACCGTCAAATTGGAAACATTGGAAATGTTGGCTGCAACATCGGAGGACATCGCCTCAGAAACGCATGTCGATCATGTCAAATGGTGTCTACAGCACAGCCGCACCATCACATCCGAAAGCACCAAGCGAGCAGAGAATGAGCTTAAGCTGGCGATGTGTCCCAAAAACGTGAGAAGCTGTAGACCCGGAACATCCAGGGCTGCCCTTGGCGAAGGACCGGCTGCGTGGCAGCATGACTTTTGACAGCATCGAGAACCTGGCTGGCAGCACTGCTCTCCCATAGCATGCCTTGGCACCTGCGGCACCTGCTGGACCTCGAGGCCGTGCTGCAAGAAGGAAGCCTCGTTCAGTTGAACACTCAGCCAGCAACATCAACGAGTACCGTGGCCTCGCTGCACGAGCCTTCTATCACATCAGCATCCTGCAGGCACTAGCCGGAGCACCGAACAGAAGAAAAGGTTCAAGGCATCTGAATCATCCTGGCAGCTCTGCTGCACGGCCAGATCCTATGTCAACGTGCAATCACCGGTATAGTGCGGCACACTCTGTTGAATCCTGACCATATAAGGCCATGCCACTGAGGGCAAGGCAGCTGCATAAGATCTCGAGGCACCACAAGTCCTCGGCCACCGAACGGCTCTTACATGGCTTCAGTGACGCATGCGGTGCAGGTGTGCGAACTATGCTAGGCTGCAGTGCTTCGCACGCTGATGCCAGAGCTACCATAATGAGCAATAGGCTTAGCAAGCAGCAGTCAGCCCTTCGGAGTATCTGAACCACCGCAAACACGGCCCACTGAGAGCCAGGCAGCAGACTGATGATGGAGAGACCTGAAAGGAGTGCAGCAAAAACAGGAACCGTGCGACTTCAGCGAAAGCTCAGCCACCCACTGATTGATCGGTTCGGTGGGGCCATTTGCAATTAGCCAACCTGCCGACAGATCTGCATTCACCTCTGTTAAGGAAAGCCCTTGTCTTGAGTCTGCTCGTTTTTTGTTTTTGCCCCAAGTCCGGTGCACTATCTGACTGGCAGTCGCGGTGGTTTCGGCCAGAAAGGGAAAGAGCTAAAGCAAGACTCACTACTCAAAACGATGCTTGAATGCAAACCCGTTCTGGTGAAGCGACAGCAGAGCTGTGCCTGCCTGGCAGGGGCTCACATCATGCCAGCTGGCTTGACATGCAAATGCCTTCGTTGCGATGTCTCGAATCAAGGCCGTCAGAAAGGCAGGCACATCGGTGCAACGTTTTAAAGCGATGCAGGAACGCGCCAGAGCTGTTTTTGACCCGATGCATGGCCCCTTAAGGGGATAAAGCTGCTCCTGACGAAACCCTGGGCTGCTTCGATGTCTCTGGTGGTGAAGCACCGCCTTCCGTGACGTCATAAGCACGGATGCAGCTGGCAGAAGTGGCGTCGGGCCTGCACCTACTTCTTCAAGGATGGACGCTCGAAGTTTCCCACCCCTTTTGCAGCCGCCATTTTTTCCTGGTACCTGCCAGGCAGAATGCGCACATGGGCAGGCTTTCAAGCTTCTCGCACTCCGGCTGGTGCCTCTGAACAATTTTGGAGCTTTGCGCCCAGGCAGCTGACATGTCCGTTGTGTCAACGTCGGTCAGGTGGGAGTGCTTGACCTGGGCACAACATCCAGATCTTGCGCACAAGAACCAGCCATAACCAGCCCATGATGGCTAACATCAAGCCAGCCGCCTGGCCCTTCTTGCCAAACTCACCACGTCTCAATTGCATGGCCTTCGGCAAGAGTTGTTTGTCGTACCTGCAGCGCATAATAAATCAAAATTGCGAAGGGACAACAGGTGTAGGGAGCTCCGGCGCACTTTTCCTCCTCGAGTGGTTCGTGGTAGTCGCGCAGGTACAGCCTCAGAAAAGTGTCACAGTTCCAAGCCAATACACAGCAAAGCCGCTAAGAACCAGGCGCTTCCTCTCCTGAGACAGCTTTGTCCTGACATGGACGTCGACAGCTGCGCCCACGAGTGTCACAGGCAGCCGAACACCTGGAAGAAGCCGCCCCGGTGGTAGTACTTCCTGGGCGAATGATGACATGCCAGTCGCGAGCAGGCACCACAGAGGCGGTAAGCTTACGTGCACAGCTGAGAATTCGCGTTCGAGTCTCTGTAAGAAGTTGAACTGCTTGACGTCTGCTTTCTTCGGGTTAGCAGCATCCAGCCTGAGTTCTGAAGCTGCCACACAAAACCACGCCGAACGAACGATGATCTGCAAACCGCACTTGGCGTCATCTCTCGCACGTTCTTCGTCCGTCATCTCGCGTCGCCTACAGGCGGGCAGAGGCAACATCATGACAGAGCTCACCTCAGCTCATCCCCTGAAGGGTCTAAGGGCGGCGCCGAAGAACAAACTCAATTTCTTGTTGCCTCTTAAGCTTCTCCTGCAGTTCTGAAGACTCAAGTGGAAAAACTACATCCGTCCTGGACGTCGAAACCCCCTGGGCTCCAGCGACGCCCCGGCCTCCTTGTCTCTCTTGATTCGCTTCAGTTCTCGAATCTTCCACAGCTCGTACCTCAGAAAGAGCGTCACTTGGCCACATTCTGACCCAGGTCCTCTTTTACAGATGTTCGTGCTGAATCATGTTACAACGCTGCTCGGAGATTAAAGCTCTCTGTTGGGACCGACGTTTGATATCGTTCCGGATGCCCGAGCAACTATGTATTGCCAATGGTGCAGTTTTGCTGATTCTTTTACACTGTCCTGGCTTGTGTGCAAGCAGATTTAATCCAAAAAGATTGCGGAGCAAGGAGCAGCCAAATAAAAAAAGCCCTAACAACAAGCAACAACCAACATCTACGGCCAAGAAATGAGAACTACATCAAGCAACACAGAACAACCACAACGACCAACAAAATGATTGGTACAGAAGTCTTTGGCCTTTGAAACCCTTGCCAAGACACTGCACAGCATCCACACACGCAACAAGAATTCTCCGACAAAACTGAAAACATGCTACGTCCCGTCAACGGCGAGATACTTGGAAACATTTTTCCTGCAACGTAGCTATTGAAGCCGGAAACTCCAAACAGGGACTGAGATTTCGATCAAGCCCCGCCGTGCTCAAACTCCCCCAGAAAGAAGAATTCCCGGAATGCTGCCAGGTAGGGCTTTCTGGGATCGCGGGTGAAAAGCACGAAACGTTAGAAAACACTTCGACAGCAGTGTGGCATCCTCAGCAAAGAAGCGTCAACACTTGGGCGCGGCTGTCGGTCATCCCACCCATGAGTGAAAACATCTGCGAGCCCATCCCAAATTTGAACCGCGTGGCCCCATCTCCGATCGCACTGTCTCAACTAGCAACAATCTGCATCGAAACAGACATAAATCCGAAGCTGTTTCATTCTCTCTTGCAAAGCGGCTCTATCTTGCTTTCCTTGCTGCCACCTCTGAGGCACGAACTCTTCGGCCTCATTCTTCTCATCGTCATCATCCATCAACTCTATGTCAGATCTGTCGTCCAGCTCCTCTGCCAACCTCTCAGCCTCAGCGACACTACACTCAATGCCCGTCCAACTCCCAAAGTGGAAGCGCACAAGCCTCAGCTTCTTCATTGATCCTGTCGATGAGCAATACCTTTGACTCAGCCTCCAGGCAAGTCAAGACTCAAAGTCGCATTCCCGCAGTGGGAGCACACGACATGTAAAGATAAGAATCGCAAGCAATACGGGGCTCCCAAATAGCTTCACTTGCACAAGTTGAACAAGCCTGCCTTGCGTTCCAGTTGTCGGACTTCTTTCTTTCTTCGGGCTTCTTCTTCCTCCTTTTCAATTTGTTCCTGCGCGACGAAGGCCAAACAATTCCGGTCCAGGCACAGCCTGACAGCCTTCGACGAACAGCCTTACGATGAGCTCGCCTGGCCTTCTCTCGAACAGTTTCTCGATTGGCCTCCACGCTGATCCAAGCTGGCTGACTCGGCAAGACTCAGACTCGATGCCTTCGACACGAAGACTGGCTTCATGAGTGGACCGCGCCTGAGCAGAACGTGTGAGATGACTTAGGCAGACTTGGCAATGTTGTTGAAGCGATCAAGGCCTATCGTCATTCTCTTCTGATTCGGACTCATATTCACTCTCCTCCTCATCCACTTCCTGGTCGGACAAACACATAAAGTAGGCTCTGAATCCCTGCCTGAAACAGACCCACCTCCTGCTCTTCCTCCAGCTCAGCCTTTGCAAGGCCATGCACGATTTCAGCTTCTCTTGCAGCAACCCCAAGTGCCTTCAGAACGTCCTCTTCAATCTTCCGCTTGGATAAGGCCAGCTCTCGAGCCTTCTCACGACCTCACCATGGAAGAAAGCACACCCGAAGTTTGATCGAAGCTTCGCCGGTCTGGGGGCCGAACGAACCGCTTGTATTTCAACATCTTCGTCGCCCGATCCGATGATCTCGTCGTAGTTCAACTTTCAACGAAGCATGTTCAAGGAGAGGCATGGTGCCCTGAACTCCGATTGATAGGTATCCTACGTATCACTCATGGCCTACAAGACTCAAACACAGCTGATCTTGCCTCAGCCACTCCAGGCTTGAGATCAACATCTATCTCCTCTTTGAGAAGCTCCAACTTCTCCTTTCTGCCACAAGCCGGTTCCCGAATCAGATGCTAGCAACGTCTCTCTGAGACACACACATCCTTCTTCTCATCCTTTTCCTTGGTCCACCGACTCCAACCCTGCGAAAGTCAAGGGCAACCACGGAACCTCCAGGATGACTGCTTCCTCCACCCGTCGCTGTCGCGGCAGCCTGCAGAGCCATGACTCGCTGTCGAGACCTTCTTCCATGCCTGTCCTGGCCTGGCTGCGCTGGGCTCCCCTGCTTCCCCTACCTGGGGAAACACGACCCATGGATTCACTTGAAGCTCACGCTGACAGCTACCACAACTGAGCTCCTGGCGGTCTCAGACCGCTGCAAACGAGCCAGGCGGCTGCTGGCACTGTCCGAGGCCTGGTCCAGACATCTGTGAGACATGTGCTGTGCGACTTGCTGAAGGGTGGACAGCAGGACAGCAAAAAACACAACCCCGTAATGCAAGAAAAACACAACCCAAAACCAAAAGCAAAAAAACGCAAAACCGGAATGCAAAAAAAAACGCAACCCAAAACCAAAAGCAAAAAACACGCAAAACCGGAATGCAAAAAAAAACGCAAACCAGAATGCCCGCACCTCCAAAACCACGGCGGCTGCTTGCCGCCGCCTCTTGGCCTGCCAGGATCGACTCACAGCCGGATTTCAAGAAGCCCCAAACGGTCCTTTCGCAGATCCTCTTCTGGCTTCTCTTTTTCTGGCTCACGTCCCTTACCTTAGAAACTTCTGGCAAAATTGGCTGACCATCAGCAAGAAACGGAGTTCCTCTTCCCCACGAAGAGCTGAACTCTTGGACTCCAACGTGGTGCCTTCTTGCCTTCTTCGACCCAAACGGGCACTTGTCCAGGCCGGTACCTTTCAGAGAAGGGGCGCAGGAACAGAAGATCCAGAGAAGGTGGAACGCGTTAAAGGTGCCTCTCGACTCGCTTTGTGCCGTCATAGGTCGGCTTGAAGCGGGTCTTGGTTGGGTCCTGAACCATGCACACCCACCGCACATGGCACAGGCTCAGTAAAAGGCCATGCACCCAAGCTTTTTCTACAAGCCCTCCTCTCCCCGCCATAAGATCGAGTGCTTGTACCTTGCTCACACCAATAGATGCCAGAAAGCGTCACCAACTTCACACCTCTTGCTTCAGTGTCGGACTCAGCACTGGCCATAGGAGACTAAGAAGACAACCTCACACAGAGTAAATGCTCCATAGGCGTGTTGCACATAACGAAGTTGGGAGGCCGACCATCTGAAGGGGGTGGTTGATCAGCTGCTCAAGTCGACAGTCCATGGGCGTGTGCTCACCAGACACAGGAACTGTTGCGTTTCGTGTGTGTTTGTATGGGTGGGTATGGCGTTATGAGCATATCTGTGTGTGCATGTTGGATCGAACTGGCTTGCGTTGAGTGTGCTCGTGTGCGCGTGTTGGGTTTGATGGACCATGCATTCATATACGTGAAGGAGCTTCACTGCAATCTGCCGGGTCCAAACACTGGTTCGACATCAGGGGGTCCACGTGCATGCTGCTCGTGTTGTAACCCTGTTGGACCAGAAACTGAGGCAGCACACACACGAAAAAAGTGCCCGCAATGCCGAGGTCCGCAGTTTACGTGACATCCTCCACTGACTTTTCGTTGTCGTCCCTCCTCCATGCCGTGACACCTTGGTGCTGGCCTGGTTCAACTTTCCCCCTTTTCTTCGTGTCCTCTTTCTTATTTGGAATGGGGTTGGAACAAGCTGCTGAATGGAAAAACACAACGCACAAAGCAGGAAACAGCTTGAAACTGCAAAGAGCTCCACCTTAAGCTCTTCCCAAAACTCGGAGGCCACTGACAAAATGTGCACAAATATCGTTTCCACGCATATTGGACTGCATCAGAAAGCAACTTGGCAGCCCAACAGGCTCCTTCCAAACAGCACTACAAAGCCAAGCCCTAAGCCCGAAAACCTTGCTCTTCCGACTAGCTCTGCAACCAATCTCGTCTGCCTTGCGGAACCCGCCTGCTACTGCTCATAAACGACTGCCAATTCGTAGCTGCGTGCGCGCCGTAGCGCTGGCATGCAGTACGATACTCTAAGTCAAGTTCGATCCGAAGATCGGCAACTAGCGCAAAAGTCTACATGCATGGATTCTGCCGTACGACCAAAACGTGAACCCCAAATTCATCAGATGATCTTGCTGCTTCGCCTCAACTCTCCATCCGTCCCTGATATGATACGCAACCAACACCGTTCGGTGGCCGCCCTGCCATGGCTGCGTAGCATGTTCCTTCGTGGCATCGAAAAGCAGACACTTTCCCATCGGTTGAACAGTGCCGCGCATGCCCTCCAACACATCTGCACCATGATCATTTCGAAGCCAAAGGCCGCCTCCTGACGCCCACATCGAGAGCGGTATGACCACATTGTCAACTGCACGGTGATTGTGAGAATCGTTGTGGATTGCTGCTTGGGTATTATGGGAAATTACGACCATGGAAAAAGTGACCGCAAACCACACTAGCAATCAGGGTGGTGAGCAAAATTGTAACCCACGGACAGGGAGGCCAGCATCACCTCCATGAACGCAGGCCCCAGTATGAAACATGAAGGCATCCGCAGTCGCCTGGTTGGTCCGCCGTGTCACTCTTTTGGTGGCCGTGGTGTTGCCCCTTAGTTCGGACACCAGCATCTGTATGTCGCTGTGCGACACATAAACAGCTTCCAAGCAACGGAGTGCCATTCTATCCGCAGTGCGGCGAGGCGGTTCCAATGCAGTCGGCAGTAGGCCCTGAACAACGCGAATACCGTCAAAAGGATCCTCTGAAGCAGGTGGTCCGCCCATGTAGCGCGGAGAGCCTCCATTGGCATACTCGGTCCAGTTGGGAAGTGGGGGGTTCGTCTCTGTGGGTTTTTCCTCACAGTCCTCAATTTGGGCGGCGCAAACCCACTCTGAATGCCCAGAATCGAGCGGTTTGCCCCACCCAGATTTCCCGCCAAGTTTTGCCAGGTTTTCGGGCACCTGACAACGCTTTGCAGGGAGGACTTTGGTGGACCCAAATAGGGGGCTGGGCCCCGGACCTTCGACGAAGGGGGGGCTTAAGGGGGGCTTCAAGGGGGGCTTAAGGGGGGCTTCAAGGGGGGGCTTAAGGGTCACCCCCTTAAGGGGGTCTTAAGGGGGGGGGGGGGGGGGGGGGGACGAAG